AAGGTAGAAGTTAAAAGTAAAGTGATAAAAGGTGACAAAAACAAATAATTTTGAAATACATGTTCTGTCAAATTTTCTTAAAAGTCCTTTAAAAGATTTTTGTTTTATAGCAGTTTCTTGCTTCTTTGTTGCAATGTTCTGCAGTTGCCTCAGCATCAAAATATCAGTAGATGCTTTTCACTTCCTGCTGTCCAATACAAAAGTGTTGTTTTGATGGCATTTAGACCATCTGTATGAGAAAACTCGTGTGCAAGTCATCCTCGTCAATATTCTATTCTGTTCATTATTCATCCATTCATCAATGCCATTTTCAGTTTGATCCTTAATAATCAGTAGACTGTTTGCAAGGTCTAAGAGAGGTTTCTTTAGGAGTTATTTTAATTTCCTTTTGGTTAATGAAAATAAAAATTCCAGTTTTTAACAAGCATTAATTCCTTAACGTCCTTTCAAAATTCTGTCAACCAGTAAATTACATTAATGTTTTTAGGCTTTGAACTACAATTTGGTCATTTTCTAAACTTTCCATCAGATATTTCATTAATTGGCACTGGTTATCCAGGCATTTGATCAAGTTCTGAATGACAGGTGTTACATTATGAGGTAATAAAAGAATATGAATATCCCTACTAACCAGCTGGATAAACCAAGGCATTATTCAAATTCAAGAGTGCCTTATTTAGAAGATTATTTTCATCCAAAAATTGCTTTATGCTTAAAACAAAATTTTAATGGATCCATTTCATACATAAAAAGGAATCTATCTATGTAATTTTTTGGTTGGAATACTTAACAAGATAATTTTGCATTAATATTTTAAATATAGTTATATAATATAATATCTTAGTTTTTTGATTTGCCAATAACAAGGAGTTTAAGTTTGTGGTAATTTGATTTGTTTGAACAAGCTAAATCCATTAATCTCTGCATCATTTAAAGTCAGGAGCTGATTTTTTCTATTGAAACAAATGTTTTTGTTGGTAACGTTTTACAGTTCAACCCAGTTTCATTGCAATTGTAAACTTAACTTAATTTTTCAATAATTTTGTCTAAGGCACTGCTATCTCTTCTATGATGGCTGACAACTTCTTGCCAATTACACTCAATTGTCTCATCCTTTCCAATCATCAAGCCACCCAGAACTGACCATGATTCTTCTCCTCCATCTTTAAAATAATTACAAAAATGCACTTTTTTGTTTTTGTTTTTTGCAGATGATGGGTTATCTTTCTTTCTCATAGTCAGTGTTGACTAAAACTTTTCTTAGCTTCTTGTTGCTGTTGTAAATCCACAGAAAAGACTCCTCTAAATCTTATTTGAGAGTGAGCAAATCTTTCTTCAGGCAGACTTATGGTCAAAAAAAGATAAACCTGATTTACAAATGAGATCTGCCATTTCTTCTTTAAAAACCTGTTACCTTTTTTTAAAGACACTAGACGTCTGAAGTAATCTCTTGTGGGATGCATAACAGATCTTTTTTTAAACTGAGATGTTCTAGGCTTCTTCTTCCACTTGTACAATTTACAAGGTTTGATCACAATTTCTAATGAGATCTAATATTAATTAAACAAAAAGGAAAATACTAATTTTAAAAATAATTACTATAAGAAAAATATCTATTGACTAAATTATCCATGCACAAATACATAATTACAATCTTATTACGTTTGGTTTTTTTTTAATAGATAAAATTTATTTAACCCAATAAATAAAAATTATATTAAATGGATTTGTAGACATTTTTCAATAGTTATTATTTTTTATATTTGTTTAACTTAATTCTTTTAAGAATTAAGTTAAACAAAATTTAGATGGATAATTTTATAATTTAAATTTAAGTTAAACAAAAAAAAAAAATAATAATAATAAACACAGTTTTATATTTGCAAATGTAGTAATGTAAAGTATATATCTTTTTTCTGACTACTATTCATTTTTTTTTTTGGAGTTATTCCAACCATCAGTTTAATAATTTTTTAAATCTTGTCATTTTATAGTAAATGAATAATGTGCAAGAAAAGTTGTCCTCTAATTTTGATATACTATACATTTTTATTAAAATATAATTTCAATACCAGTTGATTTAATTTTAAAAAATAATTCAATTTCTTAAAATGTTTTAAATATTTTCAAGGTGTTAGAAAGCCTACACATTTTTTAAAGCATGTTTTTCTGACTAAAACTGACATTATTATAAAAGAAAATAAATAATGAAAATAAAATCTTAACTATTTATGCAAATAATAAAAACATTAGAATCAACTAGAAAGATATTGATGCAAACTCTAGAGAAGGATAATGATAAAAACCACTAGCCAATATTAAAAATAAACTGGAGTTTGGAAATTTGGTAAATGAAGTTCAAAACTTTAAATAAAGCATTTTGAGGGTTAAAACACCTCTTAGTAGATTGAAATGACTTAATAAACAATCAAAAGCCTTAAATTATATTCTAGTAAGACTTAATTTGAAAAAACCTTTTGATTGAAGTATGTATAAAGCAAATTCAGATTAAATATTCAAATTTTCTGTTCTTATGTAACTAAGTAAAAGTTATTTTCTTTTGAGGAAAGTTACCTTCAGGATTATTATCTTCCTTATTATTATTATTATATTTTTTAATATATTTTCCTTATTTTTCCTAGTTTAATGGTGTTTTAAACATATGTTTGATAAAAAAAAATTTCTATGTTTTTTGTAATAATCATTAACTCTAATATCTTTACATATAAAATAAAATTAATGTTAGTGAATTTTCCAAACAATGTATTTCATAAAATATTATAGTTGAGTGTCAATTTTTCTCTAACTTCAAACAACATATTTAAAAATATAGCAAACAATATACCTTTAACAGTTTGGGAAACCAGGACAGTTCGTTAAATAGGTTTTCAACCTGGTTAACAAGTCCTCTTCAGGTATAAAAGAACATAAGAGGAATGCAGGAGCAAGGACTTCCTCTCTCCTACCTAGCAGTTTCTCCTCAATCTTTCACACTATTCACTGACCTTAAAACCCTTCTTCCCTTGGTTTACTCAATCCCATCTTTCCTATTTCTCACTAGCATTTCTTTTACATCCAATTACATCAGATGGTCCATTAAACAGGCTGAAAATGCTTACATTTCTTTAAACTATTACAAACTATTAAAAAGTATATTGCTTGATTTATTAAGTTAACAGCAGTGGCTAGTTTAACTTTATATTCATATTCAAATTGAAAATTATATGAAAATGCAAAAATGAAGAAATTTAGCCTTGCATTTTATAGAAGGAAAAATCGTGACAAAAGTTCATTGAAATCAGGTCAATATTATTTTAAATGTCCTTAAATTTCTAGCTGAAATATATGTGAAAGTGTAAAATAAAAATAACAAAAATGGAAAATTGTTTTTAATAAAAAAATACCTGTCAATTTCAAGCATTTTAAATTCTGATTAAAATACCAAAATTTTTAAAGATTTAATTTAATTTACAAAAAATTTAAAATTAGTATTTAATATAAATTAAAAAAGCATTAACTTCTCATAAGGTTATTGAATTAAATATTAATATAATATAGCTCTATTTTGAATATATTTGATAAAGCATTAATAACTGTAATGGCAACAAATAACTTAAAAAAAATTATAAATGCAGTATATGAATACACAGTACAATAACTATGCATGTGCTTATAATTTATCAACAACAGCCTTGACTATTTCAAAGCAGGAAAATTTATTATTTTATGAAGGCAAATAAATTATTGTAATAAATGTATTAGTATTAAGATTGACTATATAATATGAAATAAAAGATTAAATTTAATTATTTCATGCCGGTAACAGGTTATAAATTAGAGGAAAATAACTCACATATATTAAAAACTATAGTTAAAAAAGCTAATTTTCAAAATGTATATATTTTATAACAACAAAAATAGTTCCTTTAATGAAATTTAAATACATAGTAAGCTACATAAAACTTCCATATTATAAAATAATTTATGCCAAAAAGGAATGATTATAGAAAATAATTTTAACATAGTTGGTAATTAAGGTAAATTTCTGGAAATTATTCTATAATACATGCCTTATTGTAAAAATAAATGATATAAAACAATAATCTTCTAAAGTATGTTTGTTTGTTTTATTAAGTTATGGCAATGCAACATTTGGGCAATCCGCCTAGGGAAGATGCCTTCCGGGAGGTCTTTTTAAAGGTAACTGGCCCCTATTCGGGCATTACAAATGTGGAGAAAACCCAGAAAACTCCACACAGCTGGCCCAGTGCAAACCCACGACCAAACTCCCAGTGTTCAGGGACCGAAAACACTTGGCCATTGGTGTTAAAATTGAATTTAAAGGTTCTTTTCAAATTTTTCCTGTAATTTCTTATATGTTCTGATAATTTTTTAAAAATCAATGTTACAAAAAATTATCAGAACATATAAGAAATTACAGGAAAAATTTGAAAAGAACCTTTAAATTCAATTTTAACACCAATTAATTTGATAACTGACTTATATTTTTTTATATAAAGTAACCTGTACTTTTCCTTGATTTTTCTAGTTTTTTTGAAGGGGTAAAACCANTATTCTATGAATTGTTTTACTAATTTAAATAAAAATGAAAATTTATAAATATTTGATAATATTCTTGTAGGCTATTTCTGAGTTAAAACTTAATTTTTACTTAAATTCAAAGTTAAAATAGACATACAGAAAAATGCATTTTCTTTGTGTTTTCAAAACATTTCATGTGATGTACTGTATCTAATTGGAAAATATTATACAAAGCCATTTAGTAAACTGATGTTAAGATTTATCTTAGAAATCATTGTGCACATGATAGATTAAAAAACAGCAATTTTACCACATATTATATTTCCTTATATACCACCTTAAAATAGATTGTATTTAATATTGCAGTAAATATTTTAAAACAGATACATTTTTTATTGAAAACAGAATGTGATGTTAAAATAAACGAAAAGAAAAAATATTGCAGAAATAAACATTACCTGCTAAAATACCCTTAAAAGTTTTCTGAGATGGAAGGACAGAAAAAGCTGCACCCGTGTTGGACATGGATGGTCTTCCAAAAGGATTTCTAAATCGATTACGATCAGAATCCATTTTGTTATTTTGATTTTATTGCTTAAGCTAATATCAAATACAACACTTCACTTCACTCACTCCTTCCTCTTTCGCCATTACGAAACACCCTGAAGCGACCTCTGACGTTAATGTTGTCGTCACGATCAATTGGTTGAATCTGGTTTATCGTACCACTGAACATACACTTCCCGAGGCCAATGACAAGTTACGTTCAATAATCGATAGTTACAGTATTATGTAAAGTCTAAGACTGATTGGTTATTTCTTAAGCACACCCATTTCTTAACCAATGACTAGTTAGGATTTTCCGTATCGTCATTTCATCCGTCACGTCACACCTTCTTTCCTGTCCAATGAAATGTGACAATTATATATCACCTGATCGTCACAATATAATCCACGTTGCTATAGTGATATAAAGATTTTTGAATTTGTTCTATTAAATGCTCTATTTTATTTTTATTTACAAAATCCATAAACTGATAAAATGTTGACGCGAATGCCATCCGTACACTGTGGAATTATGAAATTACCGCAATATTCGGAAAAGGATTGGTTTTATTCAAACAAACAAAAGTGTGATAATGCAAACAGGAGATGTTCTTTAGCTAAAGTTTATATAGAAGAGTGTAACAGAGCATGTGACGAATTACATGAAAGAGCAATACGTGATAATCAACATATTGGAAGAACTTATGGTATGAAAAACGCATTTTTCAATTATAAAATATTTAAAATGAAATTTTATCATCACATTCTACATTTCATATTTAGAATTTGTTACAGAAAAATCTTGTTTACCCAAATATTTTCTATATTTGTTCATATACAATAATATAATCAATTTTTTAAAAATAACATTTAAAATTTTTGAAAAGAAACATTTGTTATTAGACAAAAACAAAAAAGCAAATCATCATCAATAATAATAATTTTTAATTTAGAAAAAGGTTAGAGAAGAGATTCAAAAAATTCAATATAAATTTTTCTTCAATAAAATCAGGCAGATAAAAATTAAATAAAACTTAAAATCATTCAAATACAGTGTGTAATTATTAATGCAAAATTTATTGGAAAACCTAATAAGAAAGTCAGTCATTTCATCATCACTGATTAATTTTATCATTGATCTGTTTATCACTGATAATAATAAGACTTGATAAAAACTGATGTTAATACTTATAACAGAAATCAATTACTTTTAATTAATCTAATGGAAAATAATTTATCTAAATAAAAATTAGACTATTAATATTTCAAATTTAATTAATTCAATAATATAAAATTAATATAATTTTATATAAAAAAAGTATAAAATATTGTTTAATTATTGAAACACTAATGCTTTAATAATTTCAAATTTGTTTTTAAATTGTGATATTACTCTGAAATAATATACTATTAAATATAATAGAAATAAATTCACATCTTAAAAATTACTCCAGCAGGTATTTTTAATAAATAGCTATTTTTTTATATTGTTTGATTACAACTAATAAAAGTCCATCAACTGGATTGAAAATATTATTGTTTATTAAAAATATGTTGTTAATTTATTTATGTTTTAAGCTCTTCCTCTAGTTCCTGTGTTATTTCTGTACTATATAATATTGAATTATCATATATACTGCTATCTAATTTTTTTTAAATTACTACTACAAAATATTAAGAAATCAAGAAAATCTCATGTACTTGTATATAGTCAAACTAGCTACTGCAGTTAACTTACTAAAGTAAACAATATACCTTTAACAGTAGATAACTGTCAAAACAGTTACTCATCGTTAACCACCTGTTAAAGGTGTAATGTAAGCTTATGTATTATAATAATTTTAACTGATTTTATTTGATACGAAATGAAATAATAAAATTAAAATGCAAGATTTCAAAATAAACCAAGAGAATATATTTTTAAGAATTCTCTCTTAAAACATGCTTATATTTTTGTTTATTTCACAAATACATTTACTTTTATGATAACATATCTTGAATATAAATAAATGGGAAAGTTGTTTATACTATTACATTTATATAGCATTTATTATAGTGTGACAAATTTGAATTAAAACTATGTAGATAATACAAATTTATCATATTCTATGAATTGTTTTACTAATTTAAATAAAAATGAAAATTTATAAATATTTTATAATATTCTTGTAGGCTATTTCTGAGTTAAAACTTAATTTTTACTTAAATTCAAAGTTAAAATAGACATACAGAAAAATGCATTTTCTTTGTGTTTTCAAAACATTTCATGTGATGTACTGTATCTAATTGGAAAATATTATACAAAGCCATTTAGTAAACTGATGTTAAGATTTATCTTAGAAATCATTGTGCACATGATAGATTAAAAAACAGCAATTTTACCACATATTATATTTCCTTATATACCACCTTAAAATAGATTGTATTTAATATTGCAGTAAATATTTTAAAACAGATACATTTTTTATTGAAAACAGAATGTGATATGGTTAACCATTTATGGTTTTGTTCCAAAATATAATTAAAATAAAATTCAGAATAGATTTATGAGAATAATCTTAAAATTTAATATCAGAAATAATGTGACTGTGTGATAAGTTATGACAATACAGAAATCAAAACTTCTATATAAAATATTATTATTTAGTTAATAAAACTGATAAAATTCAGAATATTTGCTTAGTGGAATTTTTATAAAATTATTGTTAAATTCATAAAATTCACTAAATGGCAATTTTAATATTAATTAAAATAAAAAATAACTGGATTGTGGAAGTGAATAAAAGGGTGAATATTTTGATAGACTCTGTCTTCAGTTCTTTTTTTTTTTTTTTTTT